TCAGCGCGGCGCCGTCGGGCCGGCCGCGCATCAGCGCCGCCTCGCGCCGCGCGCGCACCGCCACTACCTCCGCCGCGCGGGCGGCCGGGTCGGGGGCGGCGGCGGGAGGCGGCGCCGCCGCGGCCGCCGCAGCGGCGCGCTGGACGGCGACGGGGTGGGGCCGGCCGGACTTGTCGAGCAGGGCGTCGGGGGGCACCTCGGCCGGCGGCGGGGGGGCGAGGAAGGGCTCGGCGGCCTCGCCCGCCGGCGGCGCCGGCGGCGCAGCCTCCGGAGCGAACGCGAGGCCCGGGCCGGTGAGGTCGGCGCGGGTGAACTGCTGCAGCGGCGCGAGGCTGGACGCGGCGAGCGGCGTGGCTCCGGCGACGGTCAGAGACCCAGCCTCGACCTGGTCCGCCACGTCGCTCGGCATCGCAGCCGAGAGCGAGGCGCCCCACACGGAGAGGCGGCCGCCCGTATCGGTCAGCACGAGCGACTCGCCGTCGCCGCTCCAGCGGCCGTCGACAATCTCGTTGTCGTCGTCGACGACCTGGCAAGAGAGCCGGGGGAGGGGGAGGGGGGCGGGATGGGGGCGGGATGGGGGCGGGGCGGGGCGGGGCGGGGCGGCGGGGGTTGCGGGCGGCGCACCGGCTGCTTGAGCGTGCGGATGGGCGTGCCCGTGCGCAGGTCCCACAGCACCGCCGTCCCGTCGTACGAGGCGGACAGGCAGACGTGCGCCAGCAGCGGGTGCGCGTCGAGCACGTACACCTCGCGAGCGTGCGCGGAGCCGTCGCCCGTCGCGGCATCGCGCAGCTCGAGGAGCGGCGCGCCGGTGCGGCCCGACCAGACCCTCACCCGCGAGTCCGAGCTCGAGGTGACGACGCGCGCGTCGTCCGACGACCAGACCACGGCGCCGAGGACGGGCACGGCCGTGTCGTCGCCCGGCGGCACGCCGAGGCCGGTCGAGCCCCACCGCTCGCCGGGGAAGGTGACCGCGGGCGAGGCGGCGGTGCCGAGGACGTGGCCGGCCTCGACGAGCGACTTGAGCCGCCACAGCCGCGCGGTGCCGTCCTTGGAGCCCGACACGAGCGCGTCGCCTTGGTGCGACCACGCGACGCTCGTCACGTCGTGCTTGTGCCCGCGCAGCGTCGCGACGAGGTGGAGCGAGGAGGGCGGGGGGGCGCGGCCGCCCCGCTGCTGCGGGGGCGGCGCGCGGTACATGTGCACCACGCAGTCGGTCGTACCTATCGCGAAGCGCGCGCCGCCCGGGCTCCAGCACCCGACAAAGACCATGAAGCCGTCGGCGCCCCGCACGGGCGCGCGCGCTGCCGCGTGGAGCCAAGGCGGCGGCGGCGCGCCCTCGGTGGCGGGGTGGACGCCGACGTCGGTCGGCGCGGCGTCCTCGGCCGGCGGCGGCGCGGCGGCGTCGGCCGCGGAGGAGGAGGCGGCGGACGCGCGGGTGGCGCGGGCGGTGGGTGTGGCAGCCGGCGGCGGCAGCGCGGCGGCGGCGGTCCACAGAGTCAGCGTGCCGTTGGCGGAGACGGAGACGAGCTGGAGGGGCGCGTGCGGCTCGAGGGGGCGGAAGGAGGCGCCCACCACCGCCACCTTGTCTTGCGACGGGCAGGGCTGCAGCACCGCGACGCAGGGCATGCTCTCCTCGTCGAGCGACCAGAGCCGCACCGTCCCGTCGTTGCATGCCGAGGCGAGCAGGCCGCGCGCGCCGTGGGGAGGCAGGTCGAGGGGTTCGCCGTCGCGCGCCGCCTCACCGCCCGCGGCAGAGACGCTCAGCTCGGTCACCTCCGCCGTGTGCCCCCGCAGCGTGCGCAGGAGGAGGCAGGTCCGGGCGCACCAGACCTGTCGCGGGGAGGCGAGGGGGAGGAGGAGGGGGGGGGGGGTGGCGGAAGGGGGGGAGGGGCGGAGGCAAAAAGGGGCGGGGAGGCGGGCCGGAATGTGTGTCCCGTGCGTGAGGGACGCGACAACAGCCCCGTCGGAAGGAGGGGGGGAGGGGGGGGGGGGGGGGCAGCCGGATCGGGACCGGGCGGCCGAGGGGCGGTGGTACGGGTGAAGGGGTGAGTGCCTTGATCAGCCCGTCGTCCGCCGCGGTGAAGACGCGACTGCCAGTCGTGTCCATGGCGACGCAGTAGGCGGAGAGTGTGTGGCCCTCGACGAACCCGCGCAGCCCGAAGCGCTCGCGCCCCAGCTGCAGCGCCCCGCTCGCCGCCGCAGCCGCGCTGCCAGTCCTCGCGCTCCACCACCTGCCGCCCTCACGCTGCAGCAGCCAGCTCGGGAGGGAGGTCGTGGGCGCAGGCGCGGGCGCGGGCGCGGGCGCGAGTGCGCTTCCCTCCAGGCTCGCGCGCCGCACCAGCTCGCGGAGGTTCAAGCCGGCGGAGCGCGACGCGGCCTCGGCCAGCAGCGGCGCGCCGTCGAGCGCGTTGGCGCTGTCGGCCTCCTGGCGGAAGAGCTCGGCGGAGGCCACGTGGGCGGGATGCTCGCTGAGGAACCGCCACACCAGCGTCCTGACCGCGTTGTCTATGGAGTCGTCTGCGAGGAGCGGCATGTTAACGGTCTGCTGAATGCTTAGCCCCGACCAGGAGCGGTCGCAAGTGAGAATTTAGTCCGCGTAGAGCGCCTTCGTTTTTTTTCATTTGCGTCTCAGTGTCGTGTCCTCATTGCCCTCCCTTGCTTGCTTCTAACCAATTCCTTCCTGTTATGTCTCAATTCCGCTTCCAAACCATTCGTGAAGCTTTGAACAAGGATCCGAACAAAGACCACACGACGTCCACAAGGTGCCGCGAATTTCTCAGACTGTCTGAGCTTGTGCGTCTTGGGGCCGGTTGTGTTTTTGTGTGAACCCACCCCCCTGCGCGCGGGCCTTCTAGGCCCGCGGGTAGTCTCACCCCATCCCCAGGGCCTCCAGGGCTCGCACCTCAACCTCTCACAGACCAGCGCACAGCGTGTATTTTCTTGTCAATAACAAGGCTGTGAACAGCCTGGCGGCAGGGCTGGAGTGGCTGGAGTGGCTGGAGCTTGCGGTCGGCCATATGCCCACTCCGGAGGAGGAGGAGGTGGCCGCGAGCTACGCGCTGGAGCTCGCCGAGCTCACCTTCAACTCCAAGCCGATCATCAACTCGCTGACAATGATCGCAGACGAGGAGCGCGCGTTTAGCCACGCGATCGCCGGCGTTGTTCTGCGGAAGATCGGGTCGGCACTCGCAGACAAGAAGCTGCCGATCATCTACCTGCTCGACTCGATCTGCAAGAATGTTGGCGCCGCGTACAAGAACCACTTTGCCCCCGCGCTGCCCCAGACCATCGGCGACGCGTTCGACGCAAACGGGCCAAAAGTTCGCACCTCGCTGCAGAAACTCGTCGACACGTGGACCGGCGTCTTTGAGCCTGCGGTCGTGGCTGCGACGCGCGCGCGCATTGGCGCCTCCGCCGCGCCTGCAGCGACGGCCGCGCCCGCGCCACCCGGCGCCGCCGCCCCGCCCCGTCCCGGGCCGCCGCCGGCAGCCGGGCGCAAGCGCGTGAGGGGCGGCGCGGGGGTGGCGCGCGAGTCGCTCAAGATTGAGCTGAGCGCGCTGATGGGTGCCTCCTCGCTCGCACGCGCGCGTGTCTCCCGGCCCCCCTCCCCTCTTCACCGCGGCTCTCTCTCTCTGCTAGGCCGCATCCAGGCACACGAGTCTGCGCGGCTGCCTCCGGACGTGCAGCTGCTCACGTGCAGACCGCTAGATGGAGAGGGGTCGGGGGGGGGGCCGGGGGGGGGCGGCCACCACCCCGTCCGTATAAGGATGCGCGACCTCGCGGGATCAAGTTTCTTCGGACGCTTCACTCTGAGATTT